CGGCAATTGCAAAAATGGTGTATTTTACAAAAATGTGTGAAAGGGTCATTGGGCATATTCAGAGTTGCTTGTGGCATCCTCAACCTGAAGGAATGCACATAATATGCAACGATGACTATTGCTCTTCTCTTATTTCTTTTAGCCAATTTTCGGAGAAAAGTGTTAACGCATAATAAGTAAGTCACCATCTCATTCATAGCCAACATAATGACTAAAGTAATAAATTGGTTGAGCTAATTTAAAGTTCGAGTCAAAGGGAGTGGTGAAGGAAGTTGAGGGAAAATCGCATTATAAAACGTTGACAGCTTCCTCTTCATTAGCTGTCGTTTGGCGTTGCTAAATCCCTGTGTTTGATGCAATTCTTGAGATGATCCCTTTCGAGTCCGTCGAAAATGTGTTGACCTTTCTTCTGTCCTGTGACAGATCTAATCCAAACAGAGTTTACACCACATTTCGCAAGGAAGGTTGCCTCGAACACTGTCACAACCTGAAGGTTCTAGAAAAGCCAGTAGACAATAAACTAAGAAGAAATAACACTCGTATTTCGTCGGACTCGAGCTTTCAATCTCTTGATCTCAAAACTATATCCAAAATGAATTAGAGGCCAGCAAAGATAAACCAAGCGAGTTGTAAAAAACCAGTTTTATTAGTTATCAAAGTAAATGTTACCAGCTTTCAGTTTGTATATTAGTGATAGAAATTGGGAATCTTCAAAACAGTGGCTATGAAGGAATTTTTAGCAGCGCTCGGGTTTCTGATAAAATTGCATTTTTTATAAAATATATTCACCCAATTTTGTTTAAGGTGACGAAGGACTGGTAGAAGAAGAATTTTCACACAATGATATGAGTTGAGCTGACGTTTCCAATCAATTTCACATAGACTTGCTTTCCCAAAAGTTGTTCTCAGTTTCGACCTCACATTGGTCTTATCAACACCCTCAGCGGGAGTCGAACCGCGACAGTTCAGGATGGAAGCTGCAGTCCATCCTGAATAAGAAAATCTTTTGAGAAAAGACAAGGCTATGTGAAATGCAATGGAAACATCAGTTCAATTCATATCATTGTGGGAAAATTCTTCTTCTATCAGTCCTTCATCACCTTAAACGAAATTGTGTGAATAAATCTCATACTACTGATATACTGGTAGCCAGGGAACAATACTTAATTCGAAAAATATATTGCATTTTCTATCTTCTTGGAGAGACTTTTATTTCGCATGACAATGTAAGATAAAGCGCTGCACAAACCGATCTCACGAGAAGATAATGGCCGATTTTTTATGTCCAGCAGCCGCAGTCCATGCAGCCGTGCTTTACACGACATTAGATTTGCAATCCTTTCTTGCCCAAGCCCCATGTCAAGACCTATGAATCTCTACATCATACACTTTCATACTGATTGCAAGTATTGCCAAAAATGCTATCTTAAGAGATTCATCTAAACCCAGTTACTGTTGTATGCATTTTTAACGTCTGGCTTCAGAGCTGAGCCAACTGAACCGATCTATTAATTCGGTCACTTTTATTATTTTATTTTTGAACAGCTCCTCTACAGGCCAGCTTTTAGGAAGGACAAATGATGCAGTAGCAAAAAGATCCCAAAAGCAATAAACACATTTTGCCTACCCTTAACGCTTCAACCCTTGGGACAACACGAAAGTAGTCATTTCAGACACAACTTTTCCAGTCTTCGAGGCAGTCCTATAAGTGATCTTCAGACAAAGAAAGCTTGCATATCCTAGACCGGTACGACCCCCCAAAGATGAGTAAACTCACCACATTTGTCGTACATTTGTCTGGTTCTGACGTCACTTCCAGAAACGAGCAATCTTCCGTAAAACGCTGGTTCTGGACTTGGTGTCCGTCAAGGACGTCGATTCCTTTCACTCATTGGTCACCCCCAACTCGCTTATTTGGCTTTACTGTACCAGTTCATGTGATTTTGCTGCTTCTCTTGTTGCCCTCCAACTGGAATGTTTCCCCAAATTTGGATTATGTAATCCCTACTAATGTCAGTAACTCGCTTGACGTCGACTTTGCGACTACTTCAACCGCAGAAGCGACTCACATTTTTCCCAACTCCAACAAGATTTTAGTCGGCCAGCCATTTGTTCACTCTGAGGGAGCTTTCGCTCATGCCACCGAGGCGTCTTCAGAGGCGATGAATGATGTTTCTGATGTGAAAAGCACTCTTGGAAATGCTGTGATGAACCTGGAGCGAAGGACCGTCTTGGAGGAACTTGATCCAGTACAGCAGGAGACGCATGAAGTAGCCAATAGCCTCGTTCCGGCGTTCACTTGCTTTTATGACGGTTTTCGGCGCTTCATCAACATTACGTGGCAGCTCAGAGAAGAATATCCAGGTCTTGTATTTATGGTGTGTTCCTACCTGATAATCTTACACATTATTTTCTCTAATCTCCATATAAATGCTGTATTGGAAAAGAAGAGACAGCCACGTTTGTCAGCCAACATGGAAGTGTTTTGCTGCATACGCACCACATCATGCAAACAGCCATGATGACTCAGTAATTGTTGAGCTTACTTCCATTTCGAGAGAACATGTTGGGTGAAGAGATTCAAAGGTCAGTTCCACCAGAAGACGACGGTGGATTCCTCTTGACCAGCTGTCGATTGGCTTTACTGGAAGATTCATGCTGACGCTGTTTCCGAGGAAGTCTTATTCGATTCTGGTGAAGAGGTGCTAAGCTTTCGTCCGTCATATGACGGACATCATCAGAGCGAGATGACATCGTCACAACAAAATTCAAGCTAACAAGTCAGGAAAACTTGCTCTGATGATGTTTGTCATATGACGGATAAAAGCTTAGCACTTTTTCACCGGACTCCTAGGAGATTGCCTCTGAAACAGCGTTAGTATGAATGTTCTAGTAAAGCCGATCAACAGCTGTTCAAGAGGAATCCACCGTCGTCTTCTGGTGGAACTGAGCTTCGAATCTCTTCATCAAACACTTTTACTCGAAATGGAAATAAGCTCAACAATTATGAAACCAGATATTCCTCGAAACCCAACTTTTCTTCGCACAATTTCTTACACCATGGACAAGGATGTTGTCATACTCCCACAAATGTGTCTTAAAAAATTATCCCGGTTCATATGTATATTGGTCCTTTCTAGTGCAATATAAAAATAAACATAAATAAAAGCATAAATATAGGTAACTATATAAGTATTTATCTTGCAATCGAGTTTAATTTAGCTAAGTCTCTAAAAGCATATGTATATAATGATACTACATCCTTATTTTATATATAATTATACATTTATTACGCCAAAATATTTATATGATAATATAAACTAAATAATATCCTTACATGCGTCTTGTGGCTTTCAAATATTATATATATACACAGTTTCTTCTACCGAAGGTTAGCTTAGCCATTTACATTTATGTCATATAAATGTGCTACTGTTCGTACTATTATATAATTAGATGATAATAATAATACTATAAATACAAATATATATATTGCATCTTCTATTTAAGGCGAATTTAGCCATGGCTAAAACATTATATATATATAATCCTAAACTTAGACGATTGTACAGTAGTAAAGATAACAAAAAAGGCTATTAATACTATGAGATGTAGTCACCCAATTTCGTTTAGTGTGATGAAGGACTGGTAGTAGAAGTTACCCACAATGATATGAGTTGAGCTGACGTTTCCATTGAATTTCACATTGCCTTGCCTTCATAAAAATTTAGTTTTCGAATTAAGTATTGTTTTTGTGACTACTAGTAAATCAGTAGTATAAGATGTATTTTTACCAAATTTCGTTTAAGGTGATGAAGGACTGGTAGAAGAAGAATTTTTCCACAATGATATGAGTTGAGTCCCCGCTCAACTCATATCATTGTGGAAAAATTCTTCTTCTACCAGTCCTTCATCACCTTAAACGAAATTGGGTG